CGTCGTACGACGAAAATCGTATACAGTGTGAATCCAGCATAAGCTTACAGCTCCTAATGTGTTCATTGGTTATTACCGCGTCTCATTTTGCCGCACGGCAAGCGTTTCCGCGTCCAATGTGCAGGAGCCATAAGTCAGTATTTGTTTGCCTTCTTTCTTTCTGGGCCACAGTTTCCACACTTTTCCTCATCAGATGTCGCTGCGATCAACGAATCTTGCTCGATCGCATAAAATCTTCTATTGTGGTTTTGGTTGTTTTCGTTGATTTTTCGCTGTCTGGTACCGATTCATTCTGACTCATTATTACATATTCTGAGTAGAGCGCCGCATTTCTAATTGTTGATTTTAACACGTGGGTAGTAATTCTCATCACTAAAAGAAAAAAATGAGTAAACATCATTCATACGAGTTGAGTGAACATCCGGAGGTTCAATGGGCTCTTGATCTGCTCAAACCAGATCCCACGCATGAGTCCAGTATGCTGTCGAAGTACTCGCCGGAAATAGCACTTATGTTAAGCGGTTTCGCGATACCATCATTCACAAATATATACAACAATAAGCCGTTCTATGCTGGTGAGTGTCTCGATTTCTTCAACTGTCAAATGCAACATTTATTTCTTTATTCTCAGCAACTTATTAATCTCGTAACATGGTTATGTAATACAGTATTCGATTTCGGACAATTATATGGACAGTATTGTGTTTCTATGTTACATGTATATTTTCTTTTGACGTCGCGCGTACACACACACACACATTCGGTAGCAAGAAAATTCGATAATTATTCAGTTTAGCCCCCGCAGTTCAAAAATCAATAAAATTGAGCTTACTCGACGCGTATTTGCATGAAACGAAAGAATCTAGCAAAAAAAAGCGTCGCTGTGTTTTGCGAAGATATTAATCGTTAGAATTATAATAAACGCCTTATTTCAGAATCAATTTTTATTAAAAAACAGAAAACAGATTAAATGTGCAGGAGAACACAATTATTAGACTCATTACATCATAATCTATTTTAAAAAATTTGACATTTTCTCATGTTTTATTTCCTTAGATTAATGTATATAATTTATACATGTTTGTATTTATTTACTTATTATTTATTCCCCTTATATTATCATCGATAATTGATTTTGACCTCTTACATATGCTCACAACATCTTGGTGTTAACACGTCTTATTTGATAGATCATTGTTAACATTATTACATGAGTTTTTTAACTAATTTGACTTATAATAATTTATTCGAAAAATTATTAAATTACAAATAATTTGAAATGTATGATTTGAGTATTCTGTTAGATATGACAGATAGTATTGAAATCATAGTATGAATGTATGTTAACGATACTCTAATTTTATTGCATTCTACCTCTCAAATTTAATTATACGAATGGATTTTGTCATCAATACACTGAAGAAGACCCAATCGTTCACCCAGAACAAAATCCAGTTGAAATTTTCCCAGGATTTTTAAAAGTTGCATTTAACTGGATTATAAAACGTTTTTAAGGATAGACAAATTTTTTTACAAGTTCTAAAGTATATCGTTTTATGGTTTTGTGTTGGAGGTTTTGGATGAAGAACATTTGTATATTAATTACACAAAATAGCTTTATTAAAGTGAATCGGAAAAAGACGTGCACGTTACAAACGACAAAGCAAATCTAAATCTAAGAAGACGATCCCGCAAGAGTAAAAAGATTTATCCTAATGTGTCGACATCTATTTCGTGAGTCCTGATCGGGGAACTATTTAAACCTCCGGAATATATTTAGAACTGAATGTCATAAATTCGTGGTTCTTTTGGGAAAAATAATGGAAGTGATTTCCTCTCTCTCTCTCTCTCTCTCTCTCTGTTATCTTGGGTATTTATATTTTCTTTTACATTAAAATACAAAATTCTTTTAATTGAACTATTAATTCTGTTCTCTTCAAATTCTTATGTTTGTACTATTGAAAGAATAATTCCAAATGCTTCATACCTAGAATATCCCTACTAAAAAATTATTACAATTTTATAAACCGCACATGTGCGCATTTTATTTTATTCACGAATTCTTTGATAAAAAATGATAAGATCTAACCTAAGTTCAACATCTGCAAATGTCTGCAATTTTTTATCAGACTTTGAAAAGTTTAATGTTATAAGTGTTGAACTATTAATCTATAAGTGCAGTAACCGATATTAAATTTAGCACCAAATATAAAAAACTATTAAAAAATTACCTGATTGGGAGTCCGTCATTCCGATAAAATCATAAACAACAACACATTTTATGTAAATAGCAACGATTTATAACGCGTCATTAAAGCTGTTGCGACGGTATGTTAATAAACGGGAGCATAAACAAAATTACTTTACTATATACGTTATTGTAAATTAACATTATTAGACGAAAATTTATAGTTTTTAATATTTTGGAATGTTTATAATAATATAAAGCGCTCAAAATACTCAAATTAAATTCTTTTTTTTGGGGGGACTTTTTTCGCGCTACGCAATTGATTTAGACCACTGTGCGATGACTGGAAACATATATTTGCGTCTATTCTATGAATGTATGACAGAACTGTTAAACTTCTGTCACGTGTTCGGTGTCGATATTGACGATAGTCTAGTATCAGTCATTGTGGATCGTGGGTGACTATTGTGTGTTTTATTGTACAATGCAAAATTAAAATTTTTAATTATTTACATTTGATTATTTACTTTTATCAATGAAATACCATTTTAAGCTGAGGCTAAAAGGCCCTCTAAAATAATAATTTCAATAATTTCATAAGAACGTGTAAAAAATTGTTGAGCCGTAAATATCAATTTGTTTTGAGAGAGGAAATTAAATCCTGTTGGGATAGTTCTCATATTTAATTTAGTTGGCAAAAATATCGTTTATTATTTATTAAAAATATATTTGTTGATTTTCCTTTGTATTTGGCACGTGAACAAAAATTCGATAAATTACACGGAAGAAAAATGTTGCTGTTAGTACAACCGCAAAAAGCGTATGTTAAGTTAGCACCCCAATATTGAAATTCCATAGTTCTGATTAGAGTTCCCGTTTCCTTTTGTCCAGACGAAGAATTCTCTGTAATTTATAACAAGAGTTCCGTTTAATAACTATTTTTAAACAAATTTTAAAAAATGGGGTGCTAACTTCTTATCGAAATTCGAGATCGAATAGTTCTGAGCGGCTCAATAGCTTTATTTAGTGAATATATAGAGTTTCTGATGCATAAAAAAAAATTTTGAAAAATCCAAAAAATATTAAAAATTTTTGAAAAATCAATTTGTAGATACAATAGTTCTGATTGGAGTTCCTGCTTCTTTTTAACGAGACGAAGAGTTCTCTGTATTTTTTAATGCGAGATTCAGTTAATAATAATTTTTAAATAATTTTTTAAAAATGGGATGCTAACTTCTTATCGAAATTCGAGATCGAATAGTTCTGAGCGGCTCAATAGCTTTATTTAGTGAATATATAGAGTTTCTGATGCATAAAAAAAAATTTTGAAAAATCCAAAAAATATTAAAAATTTTTGAAAAATCAATTTGTAGATACAATAGTTCTGATTAGAGTTCCTGCTTCCTTTTAACGAGGCGAAGAGTTCTCCGTTTTTTAAATGCGAGATTCAGTTAATAACAATTTTTAAATAATTTTTAAAAAATGGGGTGCTAAGTTCTCAGCGAAATTCGAGATTGAATAGTTCTGAGCGGCTCAATAGCTTTATTTAGTGAATATCTAGAGTTCCTGATGCATAAAAAAAAATTTTAAGAAATCCAAAAAATATTAAAAATTTTTGAAAAATCAATTTGTAGATACAATAGTTCTGATTAGAGTTCCTGCTTCCTTCTAACGAGACGAAGAGTTCTGTGTATTTTTTAATTCGATAAGAAGTTAGCACCCTATTTTTTAAAAATTATTAAAAAATTGTTATTAATTGAATCTCGCATTAAAAAATACCGAGAACTCTTCGTCTCGTTAAAAAGAAGCAGGAACTCTAATCAGAACTATTGTATCTACAAATTGATTTTTCAAAAATTTTTAATATTTTTTGGATTTCTCAAAATTTTTTTTTGAGACTAATAAAAAAATAAGAAAAGCAGAAATCAAGATTAAATGTAGAATTACGAATTTCGGAATAACACAAATCTCACAAATATTGGCGTCATCTCAAATCAAGGATATTTTTGTTTAGGAATACAGAGGCATATTATGTTCGTAGCAGGGGGATACGTTTTGTCACAATTTGTAAAGAAGCTTGTTGACAATTATCAAGCGGAACGTGATACCAAACTGAGAGATTATATTATACGACATCCAGAACTTTTTCCCGAGCCAGGTAATGCGCTCTTCTTCATTCTTAATTAAAGTATTATAAATAAAATAATCATTCTGCTTGCACTGCCAAATGCGTATGTATTTTGCAAGATTGGAAAGTAACGACTTATTTATGACATCTTTATCATATATTGTTAAGTGTCAATCATTTTTTTATGTCCATAACGGTAATGGAAATGTTGTTACATTTTTACAATAATAAAATAACGAATTTAACTATTACTTTTCATTCATCATTATTTTTTAGTTCCTTATTTATACCCAGTATAAATTACATCCAGTTTATAAATCGCATTTTTATTGTATAAATAATACATTTTATGAAACAGAAAAAGGAAGGTACAATTTTTACTTTTTTATTGATCGTTTTATTTATACATTTTCTTATATATTTTTCTTCAGAAATCAAAAATTATTATAATTATGACGTTATACTCAAGGAAAAATTAATATATTGAAATAATGAATAAAATCCTTATTTATATTGTTGTTAAACTACTCTGAATTAATTTTTAAATGATTAAAGCATATAACTGACAGTGATTTTATAAGGATGTCAATAAGGATTTTATTCTTTATTTTAATGTATCAATTTTTCTTGAAGTATTGAGTTATTATTGTGATAATTTTCAGTTTTAATGAAGAAAAAAAATGCATAAGAAACTAAGAAATAAAACGAACAATTGCGAAAATAGTTCTACCGTTCCTTTAAATATTTAAAAATATTTTGTACTTTATATCTAAGCTGCATTTTAGTAGTTATTATTAATACTGAAAGTAATATACATATGTATATGTGCGTAAACTATAGATTTTTAATATTGGCAATGAATAATAGCTATTGAAATACAAGGTGAGTCATTAGAATTTAATTTTGTCTAATATGTTATTTTTAAAAGTAACGTTCCTAAAGCCCATTATACAAAAGCGTAAGCATATTTATAAATAGTTATAGTTGTAAGGATTTATCAACCATCTACACTCGAATTTGAAGAGAATATTCGACTGTGATTGTCAATTTTTATGACTACAACTTACAATTTACGCAATTGTAGAATAAACATAACCCTACTATTTTATAATTAATATGTTCACCGTCATGGTCGCCAGTAATCGGTACTGAATTTTTTGTTTATGCTTTGTTAACTACTAGTAACTGTCATGTGGGGCGACAGTCATATAAATACACTACCGCTCAAAAGTTTGGAATATCTGATAAATATGCCGAATAGAGGAAACAACTCCGATGACCTTGACATATGTTGTTAAGGTCATGACCCTGAGTGATTTCCACCAGATTTTAGCCGTCATTCATTAAAAAGTTATTAATAAAAAGTTTGAAAAATGATGTATCTTTTCTACTATATAAAATAGAAATTTTCTGCTTTAAAATATATTTTACAACTTTTCGCG